ATATAATTTTTTAAGATTTTTTTAAGGAAGTCATATGATGGGACATTAAAAACTTGAAAATAAAGAGTAAGAACATGGAACACGTAAATCAGGGTAAAACAGACTGAATAAATACTTCATGAGAGATTACTTAGGCCCATAGAAAAACTACTTGATAGCTTAACCAATCACAGTAACATACATAAACACTACTAAATAGAACATGGCTTGCACACAAAAGTAGTTTACATGGCAATATCTAAGCAAATATCAAAATCTACAGTACATGTCCTAGAAATAATGCTATGAAAATTACTGATAATTAAATGTTATTTTACTTTTAACTAATGTATGTTCTGACCCCTGCTTATCAAATGATCTTATAATCTGGACTCCACCAGAGACATTCACAGGGTTTAACTGGTTAGATTAATAACTGTACATACCAGAACTAGAACTATATTCATGCATATACCCGGGCTATACCCCTACTAAAGTTACCATCAAAAATGTAATTATAGGGGCCGGGGAGATGGCTCAGTAGAATAAGTGCTTCCCTGGCAAGGGCAAGGGCCTGAGTTCAAGCCCCGGTTCCACAAAAAAAAAAAAAAAAAAAGTATTTGTCCTTCACCCAAGATACGTCTGTTTTGCTTTGCTTCGCTTGATGAATGGAAATAAACAGGACACATTACTGAGTTTAAAAAAAAAAAAATGTAATTATAGGGGCTGGGAGATAACTCAGTAGAATAAGCACTTGCCTAGCAAGTGTAAGGGCCTGAGTTCAATCCCTGGTTCTGCCAAAAAAAAGTAATTATACATTGTTTTACATACCTGTTTTCTGGGAGTATGTGAGTCTGCCTCTCAAACATACTTTCTCTAGGTATGCGTGTGTGTGTACACACATCAAAGACTAAACCTTACCACAGCAGTGGGAGTCACTCAGTAACTGTCTTAAGTCTTTTCTGGCAGCGGCCTTCTACTTTTTTTTTTTTTTAGTCTTCTATATCTTAACAAATATCTGTCTCACCGTAGAATTTCAGAAATCATTAAGATCGTATATAATAGAGTACATAAATTGTTTACCTTTCTTCTCATCTGCCTTTCACTTTTGGATGTTCTTTCTGCTGTATCTAAAAGATAAAATAGCAACAGAAAATTTTACAACAGAGTTACTCAACATCATTATTCCCTAATTCTAACAGAATATTCAGTAATATGAAAATGAAACAATAACTCAGGGACTAAAATCATCTTAATGAAAAATAAACACTCACTAAATTTTTATTGCAATTGTGGACATAATGAACATTTTCAGTAGGTTTTAAAGTTCACAGTAAACCCACTATCTGAAAATAAAATATTAAGTTTAGAATTAAGGATTCTGAAACTAACAATAACCGGTTTGAAATGTCCTAATTATAAATCTACTTCTCATATTTGGAATTACTGTACCAGAAAGATGGTCTTTGTTTTTCTTTCTTTATTGTACATAAGAATTGCTAATGCTACCATGACACTAATAACAAAACAGTTCACACCTTTTAAAATATTACCTTATTCTAAGTACCACACAAAATTTACTTTATGCTTCTCTAAATGTTTTGCTGCACTATATAATGGCTATGTTTATTGAGTACTTTTTTATGCAGACATTGTTTTTTTTTATTTTTTTATTTTATTTTTTTGCTATGCAGACACTGTTAAAAGCTAATTTTCTCATTTAATCCCATTCATTACAACAAATACAAATTACACGAAATACTTCCTATTTGGAAGTCATTCATAGTCAAACTAAAGAACAAGAAGTTAAGTTCACTAAATGAGCTCAGTCTCAACCATGGTGTACAAAGCTGTTCACACTTTGATCTACTATCTCTGTAGCTTCTCTCCTTTCATAAGCTTTCACAGCTATACAGAACTCCCAGGTTCAGACCTTGTGGTCTTTTTCTGAACTTTGTTTTCTATGCTTAGAATGTGTTTCCCTTGCACCTGCCTGACTCCTGCCCCTTCATTATTCCCTCGCCATTTCATCTTATATATTTCTATTCATCTATGTTCAAAGTTTTAAAGATACTATATACTAAAACCAGTAAATAAAAGTTCTTGCTCTCACAGCAAGTACAATCTATCAAATAAGGCAATTTTTAATAAGAAATCTAAATAAATAGTGTAAGTATTACGGATACATGTAACAGGAAATGAAACCCAGACAATTAGCTAGTGTGAAAGTTATTGTTAGGTATTAACTAGATTAAGGGATATCCAGATAGGTGGTAAAACTTTCTGGAGGAGGCATCTGCGGAGCAGACTGTGGTATGGGAAAGTGTACAGTGTGAAAGTTCCATTCTCAATTCTTTCAAAGCCTGTGAAGGACCACATGGAAGGCTCTCCTTGGAAGAGCATTTGGCCCTGCCTCTGTGTACTGATATGCACAGAGCTGGCTAGGATATTTCTTTATCCTCTCAATTGGCTTTAAGCAATGCAAATGTACCTAGCTGACTCACTGATGTGCACTCCTTAAGGTAAGGCCACACAGGTCAGTGATGCCTCACCTGTAACTCCCAAGCCTTCCGCAGAGACTGAGCCTCAAACTTGGGAGGGGGGGGATATATATACATATAATACATATATATATATATATATATATATATAGGCACGATGATTATACATCAAAACTGAAGCACTGACTCTAAAATACTAGATACCACCCAACCTGTGATACGCAGATTACTCTTTCTGCACACTACAGAGGCAACATTAGGCCTCCAAGCACACAGCATTTTGTGTACGTTTTCAACAAGGGAGTGGCAAAACAAGATTTGCATTCTGAACATCTTACTCTGACTGTGGTGATAATTCAATGCTAGGAAGTATGAAACACTAAGGGAATTGCAGAAATGTGAGGGTGGGCCTCCCTGGTATGTGCGAAGCATCAACCGTAAAAATGGTAGTTAGGGCAAGGGAGCTGACTCAGTGAAATAAGCGCTTCCCTGGCAAGCGCATGGGCCTGAGTTCAATCCCCGGTTCCGCCACACACACACACAAAAGCGGGAGGGGTATAAAATCCGGGACGGATGCGTGCCCTCGCCCTCCCCGCCTTCCCTCCTCAAAGCTCGCGGCCACTCTAGTCACTTCTTTACAGCTCCTCTCACACCACATAGTCGTTTCCCCCAGACTCTTCCAGAGCACCCCTACACTCTGCTGAAACACGTGGGGTCACCACGTCTGGCGACCTAGAACTCAGAGCTGTGATCTGCTCTGGCACAGCCCTCGCCATCCGCCATCCGCGCTGAGGGGAAGAGCCGAGTCCACACCTTCTGCCGAGGCTGTACGCAGCGGGGCCACAGCGGGGGCGCCCGAGACTGCCCAGGTGTGTGTGCACGCAGAAGACACACGCGTGCTCACGGCTTTCCCCAGGCGGCCAGCAGCCGCAGCACCCGGAGCGCTGCCTCCCGGTCGCCTCCGCCAGCGAGGCGCCATCGTGGGCCCGGCACTTCACCCTTTCATCTCTCTGCAGCCCCGAGGCGGCGACGCAACAGACACTCACACGAGGTAGGTCTTCGAGCGTGAGTGGTGGAGGACACCGCATTGGAGAAAGTTCGGAAGGTCCTGAACCCCGGCTGCAGAAGGTACCGCAGCAAAAGCACAGCAGCCGCCATGGCGGCCAGGACGGCAAGCCAGAAGGACCAAGCGGGCTCCTCCTCACCATGGGGGCGGAACCTGAGAAGCCTCACGCAGGCGCTTGGGCCTTGCGCCGCCCCGCGGACAGAGGCCGGAAGTTCGTTCGTGGGCCTTGGATTTAGAGTCTGCGTGAAAGGCGCTGGAAGATAACCCCAAAATAAGAAAAGCCAATGAAAACCGGGGCGTTTGGGGAGGGGAAATTAATAGAATCAGTAAAGTTAAATACCAGAAGGAGAGGTGGTTCACAGAAAGCAGGTGGGTCTGGTGTCCTCTGAGTTGATCCAGGAGTCAGAGTCAAGCCATCTGCGCTAGTGTCCTGATAATTTGCAGCTGCGGCTTTTCTACACCTTGTCATGGGTCAACTCACGTTTTAGATTATAAATGTAAATCTTGTGCTTTCTGTTGTAAATGTATACTCACCACTGTTCTAATTTGTTTAGTAACTAGTGGCTGTTTCTTGCTGTTTGCTAAGATAAAATTGCTGTAACCCTCACCAATTCCTGTTAACAAAGTTAGCTTACAAAAATGACGTCAGGGCTGGTGAGATGGCTCAGTAGTCTAAAGCACCTACTTAGAACAAGTTTAGCAAAGCATCGGGACCGTGGTTCAATCCCCCAGCACCACATGCCAGCCAGTCCCACCCCCTGGTGGGCTGAGCTGGCCACACACACACACACAAACATAAATAAAATTTTTTTTAAAAAATGACTTCAAAAGGATATTAAATGGGCGTTAACTTCTTGTAACCTGCAGGCTATGCAAGGCTGCGGGCAGGTACTCAGAAGCAAATTAACCAGAAACTGAAAAGCCCCCGGAGATGTAGTTTGAGTAATGGTTACATTCACTCTGAAAGCATTATTTTGTATCAGGCAATAAATTTGTTTACCAAACTGAATGTGGTCAGACAATGAATTTGTTTATCAAACTCAATGTGGTTTCAAGTTTTAACCGCCCCCCCTTCCTGGCCAGCTGCCTTTTGGTTTTCTCCTGCATGAGAGCAGATCGAGGCCCTGAGCTCAGTAATAAACAGCTTTCCAAATTCCAATCTGGCTGATCTGATTCCTATTCTGAGAGCCCCATAATACACCTACGTATCTGTTTTCTAGATTTTTGTGAACGGTTCCTACTGGCAGACTATCAGTTTGGACACAATATTGATTTCAAGAATACTTTTGGACATACGCATATAGCCAGCCAAATAGCTCAACAGATTAAAGGGATCTGATCCCCAGGCCTGCCCTGCCGGCCCACCCGTGTGGCACACAGAGATGGCAATTAAGACTGGGCGTGGTGGCGCGTGCCTGTAATCCCAGCTCTTGGGAATCTATGAACAAGTGGATCACTATGAGTCTGATCTAGTAATGAGACCCTGAACACCCTGCAGACCCTTCCCTAAAATACAAAGAGAAAAAAATTGAATATATATATATATATATATTTTAATGTGCTAAGGCAGAGTGGCAGTATCCCCTAGTAATTGAAAGGGTGGCTTCTCAAACTATTTGGGTTTATCACTTGATTTCACCTTTTGTAACATGTATGTCCTTAAGTGTATTCAAATGTCTGGATATAGTGTCAGTATATAGTGAGTACTGCATGCATAGCCTGTAACAGTTCGGTTGTTCATAGATGAGGTTCGAATTACAAAAATAACTCATAAGGAAGGTCCTTGAGGGCCAGGGAGATGGCTTAGTAGAATAAGTGCTTTCCTGGCAAGCACAAAGGCCTGAGTTCAAACCTCCATTCCACCAAAAAAAAAAAAAAAAAAAAAAAAAAAAAAAAAGGAAGGTCCTTGAAATAATGAATTTTTTAAGGGTTTACAGAGTCTCACTACATAGATTGATCAGCCTGTGTTCAACCTCCCAAAGAGCTGGGATTACAGGCGTGCACCACCATGCCCAGTCTCAATTGCTATCTCACTGTGCCTGGGGGTGGGGGGGGTGGCAGGGCCAGCAGGTGTGCCTGGGATCCAATCCCTGCCACTGTGTCTGCAGTGATCTTTCTTATTTTCTACCCTTGGATGGATTAATATACAACTTTTAATAAGGTTATCCTCAATTTTTAAAACATAAAATTATAAAAGCAAGAACAACTAGGAATCAACACAAATGACTCTTGGTATGCATGCAACCAAAATAGCAGGGTTTCATACAGGTGTTCAAGAATATTCTACCTGTAAGCACTTGGAGTGCCTTGGGAATCAAATCTGTGAGAATAAGCGCAAACAATGATGGGGGATGACATGTAAATATTTACATCAGTCACCAGCCTCAACTTTTCTGGCTTTTTACTATTCCATTTTTGTTTTGGAAGCAGAGATGTGGCCTATAGTTTGTTAGTGCTGCTTGTAACAAACAGGGTGACTTGAAACAACAGAAATTCAGTCTTCTAGTTCTGGAATCCAGAAGTTTTAAACTCAGATCCTTAGGAAGTTTCCCTCTGAGGGTTCAAAGGGAAGAATCTGTTACATGCCTCTCTCCCAGCTTCTAATGCTTGGCAGTAATCCTTGGCAATGCTTGGCTTGAATCAAGCATCAACTAATTTCTTGTCTTTATATGGTGTTTCTTTTTACTCTTAAGATTTAGTGTTTTATTTGTTTTGGTGCTCAGAGTCAAACTCAGGACCTCAAGCTTGCCAGGCAGGTGCTGTACCACTGAGCTATATTCCTGGCCCAGTTTTAAGATTTAAACCTTGGACTCTTGAGTCAGATGGATGTGGAACTTGAATGCAGACTCTGGTTCTTTGTGATCTGGGGAAAATTGACCTAAACTGTGAGCTCATTTTAAGGAAAAGTGAACAGAATACCTTCCTCAGATGATTATGATGTAAGATGTATTGCAGAAGGTATAGAAAGAAATATGTTCCTTAATCCACTGGGATTAAGGCCAGGGTTAGTGCAGTAGTCTCTCTCTCTCTCTCTCTCTCTCTCTCTCTCTCTCTCTCTCTCTCTCTGAAGTTTGTATGTTTTAGTAAATAAAGTGATAGGCTGGGGCAGTGGAAATAGCTCAGCAGCATAGGCGCTTGCCTGGCAAGCCCAAGGTCCCAAATTCAGTCTCCAGTACCACAAAAGAAAGAAAGAAAGAAAGAAAGAAAGAAAGAAAGAAAGAAAGAAAGAAAGCCTGCTCCATAGAAGTTTAGTGAGCAAAAGAGTATGATGTTATATACAGAACTCTCACCTTATGAGAAAAATGTTAAGAGACTAAAGTCTTCATTCTGTCTCGCTATGACCTGTCTTTTACTTTACTCAAGACTAAAGTGGATAAATAAGACCAGAGATAGAGGTGCCAGAAAAATAAGTTTTATTATTTCCCCTGGCATTGTTGCAGAAATATCAATATCAATCCAAATGGAAGACTTTGCACAAAGGAGTTAGAAGGCAACTTTTATATAGGGCTGGGGAATTCAGAGGTTCAATTCACCAGCCCTGAGTCAGGTTTGAGTTCAGTTTAAATATGGTTTGTGAATGGGGAAGTACAAAGCTGCTAGCAGTTTATTACATGATTGGTCACACAGAATACAAGAATTATGTCATATTGTCAGGCAGACTTGCACAAAAGCATTCTAGAAGGGAGAGGGTCTGAGAAGAGTAGGTAGAGTTGAAAGTATTCTTCACTGGGCCAGTCTTCCCCCAAATATGATGGCCTTGAAGGAAGTCAGAATTGCTTTGTATTTTTAAAACAAGCCAGATGGGATCAGTTTGACCCACACATTGTTTTGGGGTTTTTGAGACGGGTCTCACTGTGCAATTAGGCTGGCCTTGTGCTCACTTTTGTAGCCACCAGGCTGGTCTGAAACTTGCAGAGATCCTCCTGGTTCAGGCCCCCAAGTGCTGGGATTATAGGTGTGCACCACCACGCCTGATTTTGGGGCTGCATGGTGGGTGCCCACATCTGGGGCTGAGATTGCATGGCATTTGGGGCTGGAGATCGAACAATATCTTGTATTCTATATTGTCTCCTTGAGGGCCTAACCCTATCTGACTGCCTGTAATATTTTTATCTAATTCATCTTCCTACAACACAAAAGATTAATTTTTGAGCTATCAAACACCCGATGTATCCTACCAGCACAAACCAAGTCCCAAAGGGAGCTGCTAGGGTGCCTGACGTGCCAGTCAAAATGTCCATATGTTTAGGCAGCTGAATTAGATAGAAATATTATAGGCAGTCAGACAGGACCTGGCCCTCAAGGAGACAGGAGAGAAGACAAGGTGACTTTACAATTTGGAAGAGACAGAAACTCCCATATGGGCCACACCTCAAGACAAAAGAAGAAACATACAGCTATATACTTCCCTAGGGATGGGGATTGATATTCTAAATAGGTATCCATCATCTTGAAAGAGCCCAAGTGAGTCACTAGCCAACCCCCAGCAGGAAGAGACCTTGTCCCATATTCATGCCCACTTGCTATGTGACTAATTTCCCCATTTGGTACTGGATTTAATCAATTTTACCTGAGCAATGGTGCTTGTAATCTCATTGGTTGGCCATAGCTTTGTCCCACCTAAGTGAGTTCCCACGTCTTCTCCACCACCTTAGACCCACCTCACTGCATGGTTTTCCTGTATAAGAGTCCCTGGAAGAGACAGCTTCACGGGGATCATCTGCTCGGGACCCTCCTCCTATCTCTCTGTTGTACAGAAGCTTTCTTTCCCTCAATAAATATATTCTGCTAATAACCTCCTTTTCTTCCTAAAATTCATTCTTCAGTTTTAGAGGACACAAGCTCATCCCAGGTACCTTTTCCCTGTATCACATATAGTCAGTAGATGTATTTTGACTCTTAGTAAAAGCAGGGAATCAGGAACATCAGCCAAATTAAGCTTAATATTGATGGGTTAAGGCCCCATGTGGAGACCTGATGAGCCATCAGGATGTCTCTCCAAGGTGGTGCCAAGCCCAAAATAACCACTTCTTCCTTTTCTTCCTCTCAGCCCTTTTACTATTCCTTCCCTTGAGTGCTAAAGCGATCTCTAATAAGTCATAAAAATGTCATTTACCCTTCCACCCCATCAGAAACTATATAAGCAGCTGCCTTCCTTTCTCTGGTCAGAAGATTCTCACATCTCTTCCCTGTGGTCCTCCTGTGCCCAAAATAATGGCCTCTTTTATCTTTCCAGTTTGCTGTGCTGAGAAACATCTAACTAGTTTCAAATGAGACCCAAAGCTCAATATTAAAGAACTAAAATGGGACACAGAGCCAACAGTTTTCCCTAAATTTGGGTGTACAGCCTGAAGGACTTGGTGGGTGCTTTCTTTTTTTCTTTCTTTCTTTCTTTCTTTCTTTCTTTCTTTCTTTCTTTCTTTTTGGTGGGGGGTACCAGGGATCAAACTCAGGACCTTGTGCTCATATCACTGAGCTGT